TTTCAAATGTTATGTAAATTCTTAGTCAGACCTTAATCTTAATACGCAAGACATATTTCACATGTGAAATTCACAATAGTATATTAAAACGAAGGTTTACTTTAGGTTGAAAAATACATTATCTTAGTACTTAATGATGACAATATGTTTTATAATACGTCCAAGAGTCGAAACTGGATATCCGAGACTCCAAGGGATAGTGATATTTTTCCCGCGTATAGACACAATACTCTATAGAATAATATCCTATCGGGCCGATTAATTAGTAGGTCGGAAAGACCCGTCGTTTGACAGTTCAATTATTATGAATGCTGTAGGCTATTTAATACACGTCCCTTATACATCTTTAAAGTAAGTGATATAGCTTAGAACTCGAGTAAAACTGCGGGAACAAAACGTAATAATATATAAGCAATTTCTAACGAGCATTTCTCTTTAGAGAATCCGGAAATAATTACCATTTGAAGAGTAAAGAGCATGGATTACAGTCTCCATATTTATCGTAACTTTATTATTCGATTAATTAGTTGTAATAGTATTTAAAACGATACAATTATGGCGCGAATATCGGATCCTCGCGCTAATGAAGCTATTGTGAGAATCCAACGATGAGTTTTTACATTGGAATTAACGCGAAAACTGAATCCGATGCGGTTTATTTAATCAACCATTAATACGCTGACTATCGACTTTTATATTTATTTGGCAATCGATTTTTTGTGGGCTTAAATTGAATTTAGTTATTTATTTATCAAAATATTGATACTTATATTTTTGATTGACTTAACGCAATTATATTTTTGGCGCGAATACATATGTTTACATACGGATGCGATGCGAATGCGTACGGACGCATTCCAAACTTTTAAATACTAAACAAATTCTAAATAAGATGTCGTTAGCATCATATCCTTACATTGAATGTATAAGTTACAGACAGACAGATTTATAACTTTTATATTATATATTATTTATTTGTCTTTAAAATTATCCTATTTCAGAATTCAAGTTTCGCACGTTCCAGTTTCCTAGAGTTTTTATTTTAACCTTACTGGGACCGAACTTTGTTGCATTACGTCTGTCAGAGCGACGCGAAAATACTACCGCTAAAATTAATATCTTTTTGAAAAATGCACAATACAAATGTCTGGCAGTTTGTGATTCCACTTCCTTAAATATTTACATAAGAATAACTCCGACATCTCGGACGAGTTTAAATGTTTTCTTTGTCTGTTCTTTTCTCTAGTTCTATGTCTAATAGTCTGACTATTATAAGAATAATAGTTTGTAAAGAAATTATTATTTTAATGCCATCTTAGATATAACATAGAGTTTTATATTATACTTATCAAGTGCTTCCATTTGATTCCCATGTTGACGTAAGTGTACAAAAATATGTCTTTCCCAATTTTGTGACGACTGAATTAATAACGTGGTATAATTCTAAAACTATGAATTGACTATTTTTTTATTTAATGTTTTATTAGTTTTATTGAATTACGTGTAAGCGTGACAGTAGAAAGACTAAACTTTGCTAACTTTAAAGTTTATTCTTTTTACTACGAGTACAATTCCAAAGTTTATTGTTAAATGTTTATATTGTCCGTTATATGTTTAAAATATTCATATTATTTTCTATCTTTACTAATATTATAAAGCGGAAGAGTTTGCTTGTTTTAACGCGCTAATCTCAGGAACTACTGGTCCGTTTTGATTTTTTTTTGTTGGATATTCCATTTATAGAAGGCTTTAGGCTATATAACAAAGTCGCGGGCGACAGCTAGTTCATAATAAATGTAAAGCTGGTACTGACCTTATAATATCGTGCGTAAACAAAATAAAACTAGCTTAAAATCACATTACAAAATAAGCTTCATAATTTTTGACTATTTGCACGATAAATGTCAAAAATTTTTACGTGACAAATTTAGTCATTAACTATGTACATTGCGTTAAAAACCCACGCAATGTTAATTATAGTGGGTCACATAAATTTGTCAAGCGACAGCTTTCGTAGTCGCCAGTCATAAAGCCCATGAACTCCGAAAACACAGAGTTCATTAAACTCGTAGTCAAATAAACTAGTGTTTTATGTCGCTTCCAGTTAAATACATTTATAACAGTGGTCACTAGAGACTAAAGTCCATCTTAATGTAATTTACGTTTATAAAACGTAATTTTAATTAATTATTTGACACTTACCTTTATTGGTGCTTTTAATTAATTATTTTATATTTGATGTTATGAAGTTTAAGTGCTCTTAATTAATTTATGAAATTGATTATTAAAAAGCTGCCGGAAGCTATGATAGCATCGTGATTGAACGCTATTTAATGATATACCTATAAAGTAATGTTTTGAAGAAATTACAGAATACACTTATGTACCATTTTATAAATTAATCAACAATTAGTATATTGTTAAAGGCGTCTATGGGTTAACATATTGTGGATAAGACTTTTGTTTATGCCTACTAAGATTTCGCGTATTTCTTCAGTATATGGGTTATCATATCATGGATAAGATTTTTGTTGAGGACTACTTAAATAGGAGCGTCGGTGGCTCAGTGGTCAAGCACTTGACTTGCAATATGCACGTCCTGGGTTCGAATCCCGCCATGTACCAATGCGTTTTTCGATTTCTGATTTACATATGTACATTTATCCAACGCTCTTACGGTGAAGGAAAACATCGTGATGCATCCTGCATATATCTGAGAAGAAATTCAAAGATATGTGTGAAGTCAAGCAACTCGCGTGGTTGACTATGGCCTAATCACCCTTGACTTAGGGTAGGCTCCGAGCTCCTCGGTGGGGACATATAGTGAGCTGATCATGATGACTACTTAAATTTCCAGGGTATATTTTTAATTCTATGGGTAAACATATCTATACTAATATTATAAAGCGGACGAGTTTGTTTGTTTAAACGCGCTAATCTCAGGAACTACTGGTCCGATTTGAAAAAATATTTTTTGTTGGATATTCCATTTATAGAGGAAGGCTTTAGGCTATATAAGATTACGCCGCGACCAATAGTTTTTTTTAATTCTGCTCGGACAGAGTCGCGGGCGACAGCCAATAATAGGTAAAACTTGTTGACTACTAAGATTTCGACAGTGTCTTTATGATAACAAGGGACGATGATTCAAAATCAATTGAGATCAGAACATCTGCTAATGGTACTAAAATTAAACAACACAATGTTGACGCCAGTGAATCATCCCAACTGATGTTAATTGATACGGTTGTCATCAAGATGGGGCTATTAAAACTTTAATCAAGTTTAATTGGAGCGACCGGATGCAGGCGAAAAGAATTATGTAATTCTAACAAAGAGTTAGATAATTTTATGTAATGTTAGATTAATTTTAACGTTAGTATGCGTTTATCAAAGACTTAAAAAGACATTAAAATTTATACTATTTTAAAACGGTTGGTTAACAAAGAATACTATTATGTATGTAAGGAATTATGTGTAGGTACTAATTGCTCGACTAACCGTGGGTTTCTGAGACCAAAATCTGTTTAAAACATATTGTTATCTCTGTTTTGTCAAAGATAAAAGGGATGATAAAATGTATTAGACATTTTGGTCTCAGAAACCAACGATTACTGGAAGAATTATTTCTCTGAAATTCCAATTATATTAAAACATATTATTGTCTTTGTTCAAAGGGAATTAGAAGGGTGAGAATATGTTTTTACGAAACCCATAGATTGAAACTTTCTAAGTGAACGTTCAACAGTTTCTAGTTTATACAACATCTGTTAGACATTCAACTTTGGGAACTTCAACAGCAACCACAGTAGAGTACAGGAACATAATACAACATCGATACCGAAAACCGACAAATATTTTACTTATACTTATTCAAGGGGCTTTTACTAATATTCAAGTAAGTTAAAACATATGTACGTGTTTTATTTCGACGTAGTGCATCGGAGGCCTTGTCAGTTTTAAGTTTTCACTTTTTCAAAATTGTCGTGTTTTGTTTTGTTGCTGTTGGGTACACATTGTTACAAATAACGTAAAAACATAAAAAATATCGAACATGTACGCCGTGACCTAGCATAAGTATTATATACCTATATTATATACCTAGCATTATATTAAGACTAGCTGTGTGAAAGAGGATATGCGTAAGAAGGGGGTAGACTGGGATATGACGGCTGATAGATATGTATGGAGGAGTAGTACATGCTGTGCCGACCCTCGATAGGGATAAGGGCAGGTTGATGACTAGCTGTCGCCTGCGACTCCGTTCGTAATTATAAAAAGCTGAATTAATAGTTTATGTGTTCCTTCAGACTGCGTTCTGTATCTATGCTTAATTTCAGCGAGATATATGAAACCGTTCTGGAGATACCTTCCAATAAACAAACATCTATTCGTCTAAACATTAGCATTTATAATTTTAGTAAGGTCGTAAGATTTAGTTCTTAAGTTACAAAATATTCAATGCAATACGTTATTATTGTCGACGTAGGTAAATGGTTGAACAACCATGCATTTGATTTGAATTCCCGCTGCATTGCACCGATGAATATACGAATTCGATTCCTACAGTCAAAATACCTTGCAAATTTTTGGTCGTAAATTCACTGTTACCTCGGAGATTTACTCCGCGTCGAATATATTATATGCACTTGTAAATTTGTTTCTAATGTTTAAATTATGGTAAAATATACCAAAGCTTGTTATTCACCCTTCAAAAAACTTACTTGTACAAAAAACAGTACTTGCAGTATTGTAACATTACTTTTTCTAAAAGATTTTTTAAAATAAACGTAGCTTAAGCCCCGTCAAAATAGGTCCAGCCATTTTAGAGATTAGTCGGATTATTTTGATGTATGTACCGCATATATACATGTAGCAAAAATGGTTATATCAATATTACAAACAGACACTCCGATTTTATTTATATGTATAGATTATAAAAACTCAGTATTTCAAAAAAACATTAGGAAGATTTAAAGAAACTAACTTTTTTGTTACAGAATACCTTCCATCCTATGGCAACAACATGGCGTTTAAATATTTGATCATAATTATAGCATTTGCTAGTATAGAAATAAATCTAACGGAGAGTCGACAAAGCGATAAAAGAAGATGGAAAACGGATAAGAGTTTATATTCACATTATGTTAATATTTGTGATATACAAGATAGAGTATCAAAAGTACATTGCTATTGTGAAAATATTAAATTAAAGACAGCTACAAAAGCAGATTGTTGGGTCTTTAATGGAGGTATAGCAGAAGATGATCCATTTTGGTCTAATTTTTATTCACAACCGATGATTGAAAAGTTAAGTTTTAACGTAAGGGCAGACGGTGGATTAACCTATATTCCAGCTAAGATCATTGTCAGATTAGAAAGGTTACAAAATCTGAACATACAATATGCAAATATTCAAAATATACCATCATTTGCTTTCACGAACTCGACTTCGCTCCGTGATATTATGTTACCAAAGAATAAAATCGTTAAACTAGAAAGAATGTCATTTGCACACCTCATTATGCTCTCGAATGTAAGTTTGATAGACAATCAAATAAGTGAACTGCAAAGAGATATTTTTTATGATCTACCCAATCTCCAAAGATTATATTTAGCAAAGAATAAGATAGAAGTAATTCATGAAGGTTGTTTCAAGCATTTAAATAATCTTATAAAACTTGATCTTAGTAGCAACCTGTTGGCTGTCGTAGTTAGAGAAAACTTTCAAGGACTTTCGAATTTAATGAATTTAGATATGAGAAACAATAAATTGATGATGATCGGCGACTTAGCGTTTACAGAACTTTGGAGCCTCCATGAGTTGTATCTCGACAACAATGAAATAGAATTTATTTCTGAAAGAGGTTTTGGAGGATTGACCCAATTACGAAAACTTTCTATAGCTGATAATAAGTTGGCAAGTTTAGATGCTAACGTATTCAACGATATTCAAAAGTTGTATATTTTGGACGTAAGGAATAATTATTTGGAATACTTTAAAGAGGAAACTTTGATGAATTTAATGGAAAATTTTAAATCGAATTATGCTTTGATAGCTTTGAATGGTAAGTGAAATGAAATTGTTTTCCTTTTTATTTCGATTAACGTTTATAAGACGTTAAAAACATCGCATTAGATTCTAAAGTGTAAAACATCGTAGATCATTGGTTCAGTGCTCACCAAAACGCTCTTCAAATCGAAACAACGCTAGAAACCTATTGTTTGTTTGCTCTTTAAGTATCATTATTTGCAGCAACTCTTATTTATCCTACTGTCAGATACAGATTTTTGCCATATACTATAATAGATAACTCAAAATATTAGTAATTATTTTTAATTAACAAAATAAAAATGTATCTTTAACCAGACTTAGTATTTTGATTAGTATGTAATTAAAGAGTTTTTATTGAGTAAGAGCTTACTGAACTTCATGGAAAATCGAAGTTCAATATGCATCGCGTACTTTAAAAATTGAACTGTCATTCTAATACGAATACTAATTTATTTCACCAGGTAACAAGTTAACATGCGATTGCAGTCTAGCTTGGCTTCTAAAACTAAGAAACGAAACCCGAAGTAAGCGAGTTAAAACAGCTCTCACACGTCTCAGTTGCATTAGTGATATGAAGCCGAAATCAAACGGTAGTACTGGCAGAGATAAAAGTAATGGTCACATTTATAAAAATACAATGTCTTTAAAAAACAATATTGATAAGAGTTATGAAGAAACTGAAGGAAATATTGATGACGATACTGTTTACGAGGATACAATGCAAGATCAAGATAATGAATTCAATGGTAACAAAATAGAATATCGTAGGAAATTGATTGATGTACCTAGCGAAGCTTTACCGTGTCCGAATCGATTAAGTCTTGAAGGATCTTTCTCTCCGCCAACTCAAGACGAAGTTAAGTATTATAAATCATCTGCAAGCAAGGTTATTGTTACAGTTTATTTACTCTTAACAATTTTAAACATCACTCTATAACAAATTATGACACATTTCATTGATATATTTTAAATAATGGATATATAAGAACTTGTCTAAAACTATTTTGAAGGAAGAATTTCTGAATGTAATTGCCTACTTTATTTGATTTTAGTATAAGAGTGTATGTAATAAAAAAAAAAAGTTAAATTCAAGGTTATTATCATATTCATCATCATTAGCTCACTATACGTCCCCACCGAGGGGCTTGGAGCCTACCTTAAGTTAAGGGCGATTAGGCCATAGTCAACCACGCTGGACAAGTGCGGGTTGGTTAACTTCACATATATCTTTGAATTTCTTCTTAGATATGTGCAGGTTGCATCACGATGTACCTTCACCGTAAGAACATCGGATAAATGATCATATGTAAATCGAAAATGGAAAAACACATTCGTAGATGGCGGGATTCGAACTCAGGACCTGCAGATTGCAAGTCAAGTGCTTGCCCCTGAGTCACCGACGCTCTATTATATTATAAAGATTAATTAATCTTATTTGAGAGATAAACAGAGGGAATTTTGTGGTCACTTCTTATCACATTTATCTTGCTTTTGTACATTTTTCGTCATTCCTCAAACGAGAATTAATTAATTGAACAATTTAATGATATGTGGCGATCTAGATATAATCGAACTAACCTTGGAACTTTACTACTTGTAATAGAGACATCTTAGTACATAGTACATTAAGACGACCTATTTACAAATAGTAAATAAATCATGATATTTATATACAGTCATTGAAAAATTAACTGTAACTGAAGACTGTATTAGATTCTAAGAATGTAGTATTTAAAAGTTAGGTTAGAATAGAAATGTATTCTTCAAGTCATACTACTTCAAGACAACTTTGCTTTCGTTGTTTCACTTTTATGATAGCTTAAATTAATTTTCATTTGTAAATAAATTAAATTATAGTATTAAAGTAAGTTAATGTTAAATAATTGTACGTAAGAAATTAGATGAAATGTGTTATTCTTGAATTGTGAAAAATAAATTGATACTTTTGCTGAAATTGTTTTATTTAATGTAGTTAATTTTAATAGAGGTAGAGCCCGCTTTAACATCGCACGAATTGTCCCGGTTTGCCCGGTGAAATACCACGACCACACAGAAGACAGGCGTCAAGTGGAAGCTGGAATTGGAATAACTACAGTCTGATAAGTGTGCGTCCCGGAGGCCTAATTTAGTCCTCTTTCCCTTCCCACCCTTTTTCTTATAAGCAAAGGATGATAAGTGGAAGTGGACTTTTCTGATGAAAGGATGCATGGGAAGGGAAAATATATTCTTTCAGTGCATCCTCTCCTCCGTCGATTAAAGGTAGGCAACGCATATGCAATTGCGTATGTCTATGGGCAACGGTCATTTCGCTATTTCAGCGATTTCAGGTCGCCGCTAGCTCGTTTGCCATCTTATGATATAAAGAAAATGTACAAATCTATTTTTAACGAGACTTTTTTAATTCTCAAACTATGACGTCCTTAATGTGAAAGGATTTTTTACTTAATAATCTGGAAAAGGTAAGAAACAAATTACCATAATATTGAACTTTGCTTCAGTTGGATACGTTCCATTTGTTTCAGAGTTTGGTTTTATTAAATTCTATGTTTGTAAAAATATGATTCTATTAATATATTACGGTACAAGTATTAGAGTATTGAAAACGTAATAAATGATAAAAAGTTTTAATCGTGCTAGAGCCTAAAACATGGTTACATTTCTTTCGTCGCGTTCAATCTAAAATAGAGATATGATGTAATTTTTAACACTAGTCTAAAGGACAACAATTCAATCCTTTTAGGGACTGAAATAATTTGGACATAAATACTAGTGACAACGAAGTTTAAGATATTAATGACGGCTGATAGAGATGTATGGAGGAGTAGTACATACTGTGCCGACCCTCGATAGGGATAAGGGCAGGTTCATGATGATGAACGAAGTTTAAGATATATAAATTATACATCAATAGATATTACATAAGAACCAAAAACTGCGTTAAAAACTCTACTACTGATAGAGTCATCTATTTCGAAACTTTTGAAGTTACTCGATATTATTTGCGAATGTGCTTTAAATATTAAAGAAATGGCTCCTATTGTCTGGTCTATAACTAATCATATTTGAATCATTTTGATCAGTACTAATATGTCTTTGGAAATCCTGAAAATATTATCCAAAATTAAGTATTGAATACCAAGAAGGTTTAATTGTTAATTACAACGTAAATACGGCCGGATTTTGATAAACTTTAAAAAGAAAAAATGAGAATATAATAAAATAAAGTAAGGAAAAAAAAGCACTCACTGTTTGTTTGATGGTATATTTACAACTAAAAAGAAATAATACATGTTGTTCTAAATTTAAATATGAAAATTATAAGCAAAAAGAAGTATAATATAAAAAGGTTCCATATGTGTCGGCAATATATTCCTACATTATTTAATTATTTAATATAGTATACAATTCAATATCATATTTTACGCACCGTACCCCATATCAATAGTGTTGAATAATTAGTTTCTCTATCGTTATCCAGATGAAATTACATACAAAACGCTAATTTTAGCAATGGTAATCTTGTTTGGCAGTAGTTACTAGTCTAACAATAAAAAGCTATATAATATATATCGAAGTTCACTAAATATTGGAAGTTATAACATAACAATTTGAATACTTTTCGATGGTATTTTAATAATAGTTCTTATAACTTTTCCAATTACACTTCTTAACTTATGCTAGGTATGGTTTACGACAATAATCAAATGCCTGTATTCGAATTCTCAACCACGTGATCGGATGTTGGGACCTTCAAGACTAAAGTACATTGCTTGCGATTTCCGTGGCGCGTTTACTCGGCAGGTGTAGGCTGGACGAGGAGTGGATCAATGCGCGCTAACCTTTAACCATTAGGCTATTTATGTTGCAACACATGGAAGGTACAGCTTGTATTTTATAATATTTACTTAATTATTATTTGTATGTGAAAGGGAAGTCTTACCCCTCCCGCCATATTCCCCAGATATTGCGCCGTCCGATTTTTACTTGTTCCGTTCGATCGCCCATGGCCTGGCTGATCAACAGTTCCACTCATATGAAGACATCAAAAAATGGCTATATTCGTGGATAGCCTCAAAAGACGAACACTACTGGCGTCAAGGTATTCGAGCTCTACCAGAAAGATGGGAAAAAGCTGTGTCTAGATGATAAATTTGTAACCATTTTTTAATAATAAAGTTATATTTTTATCGAAAAAAAAGCGAGAACTTAGTTGCGCACCTAATAGTTATTTAACCAAACGTTGCAACAAAAGGGTAAAAACAGCATGCCTATCAAATGTCTTCTAACGCTAAGTACGATACAAGATACTGCTTTAATTGTCTTCAACATACGAACTCGAAAGTTTACCAAACAGCCGTTCAATATATATTCTACTTAAATGCACTCGCAAATGTAAAATCTCTAATAGCTTACTGTCTTTACTTAAGGCTGTTTAATTATTATTTAGCACAGATTAGAGTAGATTTCTCATACATAATATACAGAAGACGGAATAAATATCTTTGCATAAGGCTAAAACAATTGAAAGATCTTAACTAATTAATTTTATTCTGTGCCTTGATGAATTTGATTTCAATGAAAACTATAATAGCATGTGGTTATAATACCAATTTTTTTCAGTAATCAGCTTATTTTTTTTTCTTACAACATTTCCCCTTACTTCTTATAGTAATATGACGTAAGCCATTTAAGGGATAAATTGTCACGCCTATTAGCTCGACACCATTATTTTTTACGAAGGGAGAACGACAGATGGCGCTACCATTATCACTAAGAACATACTGTATAGACATGGTGACGTATAGCTAAAGATATTAAAATAGGGGGTGTTAAAGTATCCTCATTTGATAAGTATAAAATATTATTCTAATGAGTAATCGTTAATTTATAATAACTTTTGCATGAATATATTTATTACGTTTAATTTATTGTATAACAATCATCATCATCTTCAAGCTGCCCTTATCCCTATCGAGGGTCGGCACAGTGTGTACTACTCCTCCATACATCTCTATCAGCCGTCATATCCGAGTCTACCCCCTTCCTACGCATATCCTCTTTCACACAGTCATTCCATACTTTTTTGGTCTTCCTCAACCGTTGTAGCCATCCACATTCAATCTCATTCCTTTTTGCTTATATCATCATCATCCCTTCTCGTGACATATCCAAACCACGCTAATCTTTTACTCCTCAATTTCTCGATCAATGGCGCTACTTTCAAACTTCCTCTAATATACACATTTTTAACTTTATCCTTCCTTGTCACACCACACATCCATCTTAGCATACGCATTTCAGCTACATGCAATCTTCTTTCATCCGAAACCATTTATTGTATAACAAAGTTATATTCATATTTCAAACGTTATTACTTTAATTCTATAAACAACTTACACGTAACGTACATGTAAGAATCAAATTACCCTCAAGTAATTTGCATTTTAATATGTTATTATAGCCGTATTTATCGTATGTTTTAAGTTAATATTGAAGTCGAGTACATTGTGCACGAGTGCTCGTCTTAGGCGGTTCGAGAAATTGCCTGCGGCGGTTAAAGCTTTTAGAAACTTTGTACCTGCCGTACATTTTGGTCGAGAATTGTTATTACAGATTTAATCTATGATGAAACTATTAATAAATATTGTTATCAAACGTTATAACAGTATCAAGTTATCGTATTAACGAGGTAAATTCTTAGCACTAAGAAAATAGTCCTTAGAATTGTTAAGTCCAAGGAATAATGAACGTCATAAAATTGATCACTGAAATTATGGCCTTAACGTAATGGCCAGTATCTAAATAAAAAAAAGACGTTTACACTTTATAAGTTGTTCTGATGTATGAAAATCAAAGAGTAGATAAGGACATCATGGTATTTTGAAATATAGGCTGATATAATGTTCTGTCTTAGTGGTTTAAAATCAAACTAAATTATATTAGCTCACTGGCGCC